CAGATCAGCCAACCTACAAATTCAGCTGTGGTGCCCAAGGGTCTCATGCCTACAATTCAGAGGGCGATAAACAGAAATTCTGTGCCGAATGAGTTGGCTGTGCTTGCACCGTTTTTGAAGAAACATGACGATCACACTGTCAAGTGCCTGAGGTGCAAGATTTTACTGACAGAGCAGGGGATTTTCCAGCATTTGTTGCATGGCTTGAAGTGTCTTTTCTGCTCTCAGATGTTCTACTCTTTCAAGCAGATCTTGGAGCACACCAATAAAGAGCACAGTTTGAAAATCAAGGAAAATCGGCATTTCATTAAAGAACAGTTTAGTCTCGACTGTGACGACGAGGGGAACCTCATGTTTAACACTTTTAATCTAAACACAGATGTGCCCAAAGATCTTCTTGACAACCGAGAGCTCAACCTTGCACTGGTTACCAGCTCTCAAGATAAGCTATACATAAAAATGTATCCAGACAAGGCAGAATACGCAACCACGTTGAAAACGACACCTACCGCCTGCCCGTTTTGCCAAGTAAAGCTCCAGAACTCTGAGGAATATGAGCGTCATCTTCAAACAAAACACCACGTCGTTCCCACCATTCATGCAATACTAAAAACGCCTGCATACAAATGCACATATTGCTTTGGGGTGTATACTGAAAAATCTACACCGAAAACAATCTCCATTCACGTGCAACGGTGCCGTTGTGCTCCCAAAGCCGTCAAGGAAGCAGAGAGGCAACTGAATCCAGATACAACGGACCGTGATGATGGTGATTTATGTAATTCTCCTCAGATGGCCAGTTCTTCAGACATGGCCTGTCAGGGGGGCCTTGAATTTGTCAAGCCAAAGAGAGAAGTAATCATTCCGAAGAACAGGAGACGGAACTCGAAAGTTCCAAAGGTAGAAGTCCCTGAAACTCCAGTTAAGCTCGTCTTGGAACCAACGGGAATGGAGATGACATCGTTCGAGGACAGGAAAGACTTCCTTTCGCAGTACTTCCACAGGAAGCCATACGTGACAAAGACTGAAATCGAACTGCTAGCTTCCCGTTTGTGGATAAACAAGGCTGACGTAAAGGCGCACTTTAACAGCAAGCTCACCAAATGCTTGAAAGCAATTCAGAAGAAGAGGGTTTGTGTACGTCTCGGGTTCAAAATGATTGAAGTGAACAAGTTGAAGCACAATCTCTTCATTCCAGAAGTAAAGCCTGTTAAAAAAAAAGTCTTGAATGAGGTGAAACATGGTGGCCTCATTCCACAGGTAACAGTTAAAAAAGAGGACGTGAATGAAATTAAACATGACCTCTTCATTCCTGCGGTACCAGTAACAGTAAAAAAAGAGGATGTGAATAAAATGGAAGATGGTCTCTTCATTCCAGGGATAACTGTTAAACAAGAGGATGTAAGTGAAATGGAGCATGGTCTCTTCATCCCAGAGGTACGGCCTCTGTAAAAATGGATAAACTGTTTATTAGATTAATTATGTTTGTATGCAGCATGTTCACACTAGGATGAAAACCATTGCAAAATGTTTATTTAAAATTACTCGATTTACACATTTATAAGATGGTTTGCTTCTTGGCATTAGTATATTTGGAAAAGGGGAACCTACAGCAATGCTGAAAAGACTCTACACTCTGTTTTTGTATTTTTGTTGTGTATAGTTCATATGATGACATTAAAAAGTTTTTTTTTTTTAAACATCTTTATTGCAAGAAAAAAACACTAAATTGAAGTAATACTTTCTTCTTTTTGTGGACACTTGTAATATACATTTGGGGACATCTGTAGTGAAATAGTTCTGCATCTAACATTTTATATTAGAACTGTACAGAAAATGAAGATTTGGTTAACTATTACTACTAACTGGCTGCATTTCATAGCTGTAACACAGAAAGGGGCACTTTATGATGTTTTCATGTTCTTGTTTTCATGTTTTTGCGCTTCATATAATACACTGTAATCATTTCAGACATGTGAAAAAAAGACAAGTGCCTCTGTGTCCTATTTAAAGTTTGCAGATGTATTTTGCCTCTTGGAATAAACGTGACTAAATATTACAGGTGTGTGGTTTACTCAAAAAATTAGTTGTGATTGATTGAACAAGTTTGTTATCAATTTATTGGTATTTTAATTGATTATTATTTTAAAAAGTTAAATAAGTTGTTTTACGTTAACAGGTCGCTGTAAGGACTACTGTTATTACAAGAATGTGAATATAAATGCTTGTGGAATCAGATAAACATTGTCGTTTTTAAACAGACTACATTACTAAAAACATGCTTCAAAATTTGCAGTTTCGGTATGACGATTTATAATTTATGGTGTAGAACGAAATGTGAAAACACTGAACAGAGTTCAATAGGTTACAGAAGTAAAAATCCCATTCATATTCTCCATAGGGTAACTGATTTTGAGAACTAATAAACCTTTAAAGACAGACCTACTGTGAGCTATGAGGTTATAAATAGATGGTAGATGCTTTTGTTGAAGCCATCAGCCTGAATTATTAATATTTATTTTTATATCAGTAAAATATTATTTAAATAATCATGTTCAACAATGGAATTCCTGGTGAAAAACGACCTTACCCGTGATTCTGCAGAGAAATCTTTACCTCCTAACCCAATATGTACATCTGTCTTTTTTGTCTGATTTTCAAATAGAAATATTTGCTTTAAATAAAAGTTTGTAATGTTGAGATTCACCTCTTAGCTGGTTGTTTTGGTTCATGGCTTACAACTCTTAAATAAAGACATTTAAATCCCTATGGGGAAAATGAAAGGGAAAAAAATACACAACCAAAGAACCTGAGCTAGAGGACGGGCGCTGTTGCACTCGATTAGCCTTTTGGGCCCCAAGCAAGTGAATTACTTCACCCTTCGCATTCAGACAAATGTAGTCGATGCTAAAACTGTAATGCGTGAGTGCAAGGATATACTTAGCTGGTGGTCATGTTGACTGTCAAAAGAGTTGTTTGATCTAAAGAATGCACATTTAGTCAGTATACGAATGTATTAACAAGCATAATCTATAAAATGACAGCACGACCGGAGACAGAGTGCTGGTCCTGGGCTGTAATGCTGAAAGAAAGTAGGATTCATAGCTCAGCCTGTCTGTCTGGAGGCAATAAACTGATGAAGATGCTGGCCAAAAAGAAGTAAGTCTCCGTTTTGTTTAATTAATAAATAAATGCCAGTTTTGACTATAAAGTTGCATGAGTTACATTATAGTTCTTTACAGGAAAAAAACAATGGTATGAATCTCCTCTACAGGTAAGAGTTCCTGTAAATACTTTTTAAAATTATTATTATTTACTGCTTTATTTTATGTATTGTCCTTCTGAGTACTGCATACTCTTTTAAAATATCGTAAATGTTAACAATAAAGCTACGTTGACTCTGCAAGCAGCATGACAATATGCATCAACTGGTTTACAGGTCTTTTACACATTTTGCCCACCCAGGCCACAGCACTTGGTCAGCCTGGCTTTCTGAAACCATCAAACGAAATAAAGAGGACAGTGTTCGTGTCAGGACTCTCAACATCATCATCTACAAAGCAGTAGTAGACTTGCTGAGCTCCTATGAAGTCAACTCAGATCTCAGTGCCTACAATGTGCAGATTTCCAAAGTAGGATGTGCACTTCCTTCGAAATTCCTTGCCATCATTAATCATACCACATATATTCTATAATAATTAAAAGGATAGTATACCCAAAAAATGAACATTCTGTCATCATTTACTCACTCAAGCCGTTCCAAACCTGTATGACTTTCTTTTTCTCTGAAGAATACGAGAGAAGATCATTTTTAAAATATGTCCATTGTATGGACCAAAAAAAAAAAGAAAGATTTTATCTTATTTTATTATATACAGCTCGACATGAGTGAGAAAATTAGGATTTTTAGATGAACTATTTCATTTCTTCACAAATGCTGTTTTCAGTACTTCCTTAAACTGTTTGTCTCCTTGTCCATGTAAGGTTTCACTATCACCAGATTTCTCTGCTTGTCAAATATACTGGAAGACAAACCTGTCAGCTGAGCAAGACAGCCATATTCAGCAGGCTTTAAATAAATGTGCTCTGGTATGTATATTTCATTAGCCTGCTTTACTTTTGTTTTAATAAGCTGAAGAAAGAGAATTGCATAATTTGGCTTATTGTATTTTTCAGGCACCTTTTGATCTCTAACCAAATCCTTGGCAATGTTCCTCCTGTGGTTTTCATCAGAGACAAACAATATGGTGCTGTCACTGAGGTAACAACGATAGAGTTTATACTGAGTTTATAGCGATAAAAGATGGAATAGCTTATATATTATTATTTTTCTTTTTCTAATCAGATTGAAAACCTTCTCAAGAAAGCAGATTTTGGTCCAGAAGAAGATAACAAATAATTTATCCACCAACGATGTCGGGTAAGAAGAATTTAGTTCTAATAAAACAAAATAATTTTGTTTTAATTAATTTCTAATTTGTTTAATCTTACAAAGGGCCAAACTGCAGCTGATGGAATCTGAAGACAAGAAAAGACCCGTTTTGTTTGGTGTCGATCACGATGCTCTGCACAAACAGATTGAAGCCTATAAACGGGAGAGTCCTGCTGCTGGAGGACTAACACAAGAGCAGCTGGATATGCTAGCAGATATTAGGAAGCAGAAACTCATAGAGAAATAGTCCAAATGGATGAAGGATGATGATATTACTCCTAAGGATTTTCTGTTGTCCAGAAGCCTTCAAAAAGAGGACAAAGAGGAGCAGGACGGTGATGAGGACAGCCTGGTGGATAGCCAGGTCACAGAGTTGATGGAAGAGGACAACAGGAGACACTGAAATCACATCTATTGGTCACTTGAAATATTATGCTGTTTAGCGGTGTATAATAAAAATATTTGAGCTTGGGGAAAATTCAGCTTTGCCATCAAAGGAATACATTTCATTTTAAAATATATTAAAGTTATTTTAAATTGTAATATTTCACAACATTAGTTTTAAATCATTTCAAAAATCTCACCTACCATAAAACTTTTGAATGGTAGTGTAGTTGATGCTGTATTGGTGCACAGCTTTAAAGTGAGTTTCACTTGTAAAATCATGAATGATATGAAAAATGAAATTATGAAATGTTATTAAATTAATTAATGAAGTATCTCAATAATACACAACACCACACATTAAATAACTCAGTTTACTATTATGATAGCCATACACTGTATGGGAGCTTTATATAAAAAGTGTGGAGGAGGCCAGAGTCACACAGTAACTGTTGCATACATGCTTACAATGATGGTACATGAAAAATATTCTAAATAATAATAATAAAAAAATCACATTTCTAAAATAGATTCTTAGTTATGTGCAGCTGGCTTTACTGTGATTAGGTCTCAAGATTTTTGCAAAGACTTAATGCTTCTGTCAGGAAAAATATCTATTTTTTTTGTAGCATGAGGCTGACTATTCACTGCTACTTTTCATTTCAGATTATTTACAATTGTGCAAGATAGGTCCCTATAATCTATATGTATGGCTGCAATAGTCCATTCAAGACCTGACTGGAGTAACTACAGCAAAAGAAAAACTAGAAGAAAACACTTGAACAGCATTTGAACTAGCTAGCTAGTAGTTTTAAAACCCCATATGTATTGTCTTACTATGCTCTATACTGTGCTGGTCTCCTCAGTTTGCACAGCATCCTGAACATAGACTATGAACTGGGATGCATCTTCCTGCGTATACACTGTAACAGTTTTGATGCCCTCCATTTCATCTGAAGACACCACTAGATGGTGCTCTTCTCCCAGGCCCACTGTGGCCTGCTGCAGTGCATCCTGGATCATCATGGCATGATTGGCCTGCGGCTCCTCCTGCTCCACCTAGGATGATGGGACAGAACATTCTTATTATTAAAGGATTCAAGGAGTTCCTTCATCCTTGAGATTGAGAAAAGCTTAATGTTCTAGAGCTTGAAGACATGCTGTAACTTTCAGAGATCCAAAAAGCACATTTATTGAAAATGAAAAAATGACTCACAAATGCCTGACGTCAGATAAATACATAAACACGTCTCACATATCAATGATTCAAACTGGCCGATTAATTAAACAGCTGAAGTTTATTTTTAACATGGTCTCTGAACATTTCAGTCTTACTTGATTGGTTTCTGTGGCATATTTCAGCAAATATATATATTGGACCCAATATTAGACAGTTTAATTCTAAGGGTCAAAGAGAAAACTAAATGATTGTTGAAGTAAATAATGACGGTTGAATTTTTTGTTAACATTATAAGTAAACCTCAGGGGGAAAAAAATGTTCAAAAGTTTGGGGTCGGTAAGCTTTTACAAATGTTTTTGAAAGAAGTCTCTTATGCTTATCAAGGCTGCATTTATTTAATCAAAAGTACAGGTAAACATTGTGAAATATTTTTAAATGTAATTTATTCTTGTGATGACAAAGCTGAATTTTCAGCAGGCATTACTCCAGTCTTCAGTGCCACATGATTCTTCAGAAATCATTGTAATATGCTGATTTGGTGCTCCAGAAACATTACTTATTATTATTTTAATGAAAACCATTAATTTTTTTCCAGGATACATTGATGAATAGAAAGTTCAAAAGAACAGCATTTAATTGAAATAGAAACCTTTTGTAACATAATAAATGTCTTTACTGTCATTTTTGATCAGCTTAATCCATTCTTGCTGAATAAAAGTATTAACTTCATAAAAATAAAACTTTTGAACTGTATATGTTATGACCCCCTTAAATTCATATATAGACACTGTTAATATAACACACACACATCTATCATTTGATTATAAGTAGTTACTAAAATGTCCATAAAAGTGATACCAAATATAGCAAGACAATAAACGACCATTCATAAGCAATAATCATATTGCAGAGAGTGGAGATGATATATTGTGAACTCAATAAAATGACATGAGATAAGTTTGGGCAGCTCTCCAGAAGCAGAGAGGTCTGTCGGTACACAAACATGCATATTAACCGTACCTGCTCTACAACAGTAACTGTACCGGGAGCCATGGCAACCACAGAAGCCACAGCGGCATCATGATTCTCTGAGCCCAGTTCAATTATCTGCTGCAGGATGTTGACAGATGCCGGGTCTAGTCTGTCTCCCGCTGCCGCAGACACAACACCTGAACACAAACGATGAGTTTAGATATCAACTTTACAGAAATCCAACAACTCCAGAATTTAAGCAATTGTTTCTGACCATTTTGTGTGTTGAAGCGCAGGTCCTGCAGAGCTGATACAGCAGTCTCTGTTCCTTGTGGATCCTCAGTCTCAGCTATATGAAGGTACTGCATGGCCGGCTCCTCCACTGACTCCACTACCTGAAAGAACACACCAATAAGATCATAAGCAAGTCTAGTAGCATTTAATTCTAATGTTAAGAATATAGTGAACATGAATTAAGGCCATTTAACAATCATGCACTGCTTTATCAGGAAGAAAATATATTATGAATGTCAGAGTCCAAGAAAAGAAAAGGCTGGAGTAATTGCCTTTTTTTGCTAAACTTTTAAATATTTTATTATTGATTATTATAAGCTATTATTATTCATGCAAAAAAATGAAAATTCTGTCATTGTTTACTCACCCTCATGCCGTTCCAAACCCATAAGACTTTGGTTCATTTTTGAAACACAACTTAAGATATTTTTAATGAAACCTGAGAGGTTTCTGCCCCTTCATTGAAGTCCAGGTAACCAAAACTTAGAAGATCCAAAAAGGTCATAAAGACATCATAAAATGAATCCATATGAATCAAGCAGTTTAATCCAAGTCTTGTGCAGAGATATAATCTTTTAAAGGGGTCCTATTATGCTTTTTCACTTTTTCAACTTTAGTTAGTCTGTAATGTTGCTGTTTGAGCATAAAAAAGATCTGCAAAGTTACAAAGCTCAAAGTTCAATTAAAAAGGAGATATTTTATTTAACAGAAATCACTTTTCAAAAACTACAACGAACGACTCGTTTGGACTACAACGCATATTTTCCGGGATTTGTGATATCACAAATATCGACGAATGGGACGAGACCTGGTTGAGCTGCGCTAGAGAAGGCAACAAGTGTTATCACTATGTCGGAGACGCACTAGCTTTCCCAAGGCAGACGAACTTAGAGTGGTTACAATCATCCGGGTTTAAATCGCGCTCAAATTGATTTGATTTTGACGCAATATTTACACTGAAGCTAGCAGGCGGCTGTGGTAAGGGGCATGACATTTCCCGACCAGGCGCCGAGTGCTGCCAATCACAACACATACTGGCCCAGCTAACCAATCACAGCATATTTCGCATTTCAGAAGGCGGGCCTTCATTTGATACAGGAACAGTGTTGCCAGACGTACGATAATTGTCGTATTTGTACGATAATTTTGACCTCTGTACGATGTCCGATCAATAATGAAAAAAATCCCATAATGTACGATAATTTTGAAATTTCAGAACATGTTTTTCCAAAGTCAACCTCATCAAAACAAAGCCATGAAATCGGCTCATTACAGATGCTCTAAATGGGTTGGTGCACACCTCAGGACCCTCAACATCTGGCAACACGCAGGATTCTGATGACAGCGACTCAGAGGTGGAGTTTGGACCTTCCCACAAGGTACGCCTATGGCCCTATGATTTCCGCAATCCAGTCAACGGAATTTACTGTATAACGCGGAATGTCACGAAATTTGTCAAAGTTTGGATGAATTAATCAAAGGAAGATCAGAATTTTTGATTATTGATCAGAAGGTGCTCCTTCATTTTTTTAAATCCTGATTACAAGAAGAAAAACACTGCTCTCAAACTGGGTGTGTGACAGGTATGGCTGTGGAATGGGGTTTGGCTAGGAAAATGTTTCAGTCAAAATATATATTTTTTTGCTTTAACCCCTGACTACTACAACAATTATTACAACTTTTGTTTTAAAGAATAATCACACAATACGCTATTTCTTCCATGTTTTAATTTTAATTGTAAATCCCCTTTGTTTGCCAAAAAATAAAATTAGTTTAATTTTCATTAATTAAAAGATAAATGAAATTAATGTGTTATGCCTTCATTCGATAACCAGAAAAATTTAAATACGCAATGCAGAATTTCATAAGGCTATAAATAAAAGTAGTTTTTATGCATTCAAATAATTAGACATATTAAAACACAGAATTTGGTAACAATAAACAAGGTGAAAAAATAGAACATTTCATAAGACCCTAAACATGTAATTTTTGTTAAACTTTTTAATGGATTTGATGTTGAATTGTATACGTTTCATTATTTAATTAGACATGCTTTTGATAAATAAAATTTAATTTAACCATTTAAAAAGGAGTCCAGAAAAATTAAAATGGAAAAAAACAAGAATCCCCAAATTTTTTTATTTGGAATAAAAAATTAAAAAATGGAATTTGGGAAAAAATAAACCTATTTCATAGGGCCCTAGCATAGTTATTTATTTGTTGTGGTAATTTGAAGGTTGTGTCAAAAAGTTGTTGTTCTAGTCTAGTAAATAGTTGTATTCTGTACGTTTTTACTCGTGTACAATAATTTTCTTCCAAATACGATAATTTTGAGCTTCTGGTACGATACTTGGACATTTCCAATCTGGCAACACTGTACAGGAACTATCCGAGCCGTTCATGCCAGACTGGGGAGAGAGGTGTTGTAATAATGTAAAATATGTGAAAAATAATGTGTTTTTCGAACAACCTAGTATGAGAGCCTGTTCTAGTACACCCCCAAAACAAAATCAAGACTTTGTAAAAGAGCATAATAGGACTCCTTTAAAATTATGAACAGATTGAATTTAATGTATGAAATTTTTGGATGTTTTAAGTTTTTGTTTCCTGGACTTTCAAGGGGGAGACAAAAACCTTGCAGTTTTTTCTAAAAAAATGTCTTAATTTAACTAAAGTCTTATGGGTTTGGAATGACATGAGGGTAGTAAATGATGACAGATTTTTCATTTTTGGGTGAAGTATGTTTACTATCAATATATTATTTATTATTAAATATTAATGTACAGCACTTTGGGTCAACTTCTATTGTTGTTTATGCATTTTATAAATAAACATGACTTGACTTTATTATAATATTACTCACCTCCCACTGATTCAGAACAAGACTGTCAGTCTCCACCACTTTGAGACCATGTTTGCTCTTTAGGTGTCTGTTCATTTCCCATTTAGTGCCATAAACGTAATTGCAAACAGGACATTTGACTCCACCTGATAACACACACACACTTTTCAATTACTGATGCTGTTTGAGGCAACTCTGTATGTCTAACAATAAGCAATGTATATGTTAGGCAGTTAAGGCTGGTTTCATTCTGGTGAGGAAGGACTTGCCTTGCTCTGTCACAGTTTCGGAAGTGGACACTCCTGATCCAGCATTGATATACTGAGCGTTGGGATGTTTTTTGTTATAGTGTCTTTTCAGAGAACCTGAAATGTTGCACGAGTAGTGGCAGTGTGCACAACGAAAAGGCTGTGAAAGGCAAAACATTGTGCTTTGGTGGTGGTTTTAGGACACATGACAAGACAAAACTAAAATAGAAGTCTTTTGTTGTGTTACTTTGAAAGAAGCATGTTGCTCCATGTGACGAAGGAGATGCGGTCTCAGTGCAGCAGTGAAGTCACACTCAGTACATCTGAACTGCTTTCCTACAACATATTTAAAAAGAAATTACATTTTTGATTGGCTGTGTATTAAGAAAATAATCACAGAAATAATCAAAACCACTGATGTTTAAGTACAATTTAATTAAAGTAAATTTAACTAAAATTAAGCAACATTAAAGTCATGAAGTCAAAATTGACTCAAAAATTCATATTTACTTTAATACAGTTTCCTGTTGTCATTGTGCTCGATGCACCAATGCACGTTTTCAAAATGGTAAAAAAAAAAAAAAGAATTATTACTATATAGAAATTATTACTATATAAATTATTATTATATGGAAAATGTTTACTTTGTATTAAATTACATACATATTTTGTACTGAAACTAGACTATAAGAGAAAAAAAGTCAAATTTATTTGTATACATTTTTATAATAAATATATTATAATAAATTTATATTACTGTGGTGCAGGAAAACATAAAAATAATTGATATACACACACACGTTCAAATGTTTAGGATCAGTAAGACTTTTTAAAAAAGAAATTAATACTTTTATTCAGCAAGGATGTGGTCAAAAAACATCCACGTTAGAAAAGATTTCAAATAAATGCTGTTCTTTTTAACTTTCTATTCATCAAATTATCCTGAAAAATGTATCATAGTTTCTACAAAAATATTAAGCACCGCAACTGTGGTAACAATATAACACTGATAACAATATAAAATCAGCACCAAATCAGCATATTAGCATATGATTTCAGAAGGATCATGTGACACTGAAGACTGGAGTCTGATTTGCTATTACAGGAATAAATTAATTTTTTCTCTATATTTCTACTTCTGTTTTATATTGCATTATTTAATTTTCTGTTTTTCTAATATTAGTGTTATATGTCATCTAACTGTGTAATTCCTAAGTATGTCTGCACATACACATGTCTGTACTTTCTTCTGCACTGGAAGCTCCTGTCGCCAAAACAAATTCCTTGTGTGTGTAAACGTACTTGGCAATAGAGCTCTTTCTGACTTTTGAAATACGTCAGATTACGGAACCCTTGTTGGTTTAGGTACACGAGTTCCAATAACACAGTATGCAGTCTTAAATACAAAGCAAGAGACTCACCATCTGCTGTGTGCATGAGCTTATGACTTTTCAGAGTGCATTTAGACTTGAACTTTTTTCCACAGAGGTCACAAAGATGTGCTTTCTCAGTACTGTGTCTATTCATGTGAGCTTTGAGGTTGCTTTTACTTCTTGAGGCATAATCACATTGTGAACATTTGTACGGTTTCAGTCCTGGAGACATGAACAGAACAAAATCAGTACACTAAAGCAGTTCATTTAAGTCCATACGTTTGACAACACGGTAAGAAAAAGACATAAAACCCGCCTTCATGAGCCCATATGTGCTGCTGAAGATCTGCCCCATTCCTTGTGAAGAAACAATCACAGTACGGGCATTTGGAAGCTCGTTTCCCGATCACTCCTTTCACATGTACACGTATTCCCAACGTTTCCGAGATGTAGTTCAGCGACACATCTATACAGCAACAGCACATTCGTTACTTTAGAGCTCTTGTGGGACATTTCACAGAGGATTATTTGTTCTTACCCGGATGGTTGCTTTTGATATGAGCTCTAACTTTGTCCTCGGGAACAGACTCTTGACATACTGGGCATATAAAACTTTTTTTGACCTAAAGACGAGAAAG